GGTGCTTCAAAAGTTGTAAAGGCAGCAGTGGGAGTGGTGTTTGAGAGCGCCAGCTTTACTGAAAACCAGTGATGGATTTGGCATGGTACCTGGGAAACTGTGCATGCTCCAGGCATATGGGACTATGGACCTTCAGGGTAGGGTTGTTGGAAGGGAAACTGCTGGGCACTGCATAAGTGTGAGGATGTGCTTGTAATGTGGAGTGTTACTGAGAGCATAAAAGAGCCAGGAAATCCAGGTTCTTCCCCTAGACTCATGTAAGTTTCATTAGTCTAGGTATTACTGCAGTTTTTGTCTCCCAAGAAAAAATTTGACTATTAATTATCTAGTGACTGTAAAGCTTTTTGAGATCACAGATATGAGACTTCCAGGAGTGAAAAAGTATTATCTCAGCCTTCAAAAATCTTGATTCAGCATTTGACCTTAGCTACTAGTTCCTGAAGTGATTTGACTACCCTTAGTCACCTCAGATCATGGCTCCACATTTTAATACCAGACATTAGTTATTTCCATACTACCATGGCATTTATGATGTGTGATCTTTTCTGCTGAACTGGTGAAATCCCTACACCTGATTACAGTAATGATGGGCATTTATAAAAGATTAAATGGAGATTTAACATTTCTAATTGAATTCTCCTGAAGGTTGCCTAGAAGTCAGCATGACCACATGCAGGCAGTCTGCCCTGTTTAATATTTCTTCCTTGGACCATCATCTGTAAATAACTTTACTTATTCTTCTTAGGCTCATCCTGTTCTTTTCAGGGTGTCCTTTGTTGGTCAGCCTCTTTAATTCTAGGAACAGATGTGCTATTTTTTCAATATGATCCAGTTTCAGTATGTGGGGCAAAACCAGAGCAAACATAGCCAGTATGGGCAATGGAGAGGGATTTTTCTTCACTTGCTTCCCTGTTGGGCCAGAAGCTTGGGAGATCACAGTGGGTGGGAGTAGAAGAAGTGTGTGCCTAGAGAAACACAGGTCATGTGGCTCTGAAAATGGGGTGCAGGAGCAGGGCATGTGCTACAGGCAGGTTGTAACAGGCACTTTGGAAACTTGTTGTGATTCCACAAGCTGGTTTGACTGGCCCACATTGAGCTTTCCTCCAGCATGATCTTAATTGTAGGTGAGCTTTCACTCTAGAAGCATCTTTTGTCTTTTTTCAATTTTCATTATCATCAGCTCATTATTTCCTCATATTAGGTTGCCTGACTATCTCACATAAAATTCCATGTCTTTATTGGTTAAGAAGGTTAACTCACTGGGCAGGCTAGGGTTGGCTTCTGCACTGCATGTAGTACTTGTGAAAGAATATGTTGAGCACAGCCACTGGGATCAAACAGTAGTATCTTATTTATGTTGAAGTTTTTATACTTCAAAGTGGACCTAGGTTTCTCACAAGGACCTTGCTATCTCTTTATTGGCTACTGATCCATTCTTAAATTTGGATGTTCTGCTTTGGCTCCCAGTACTAGTTTTCTCTTACGAAAAACTGTTGTTGGTTTTTCCTACATACCATCAGGTGCCTAGTGAGGTGTTTGCCCAAGTGAACCCGGAAAGAACCTGGGCTCTGAAGCTGGGGTGAAGCATGCTGTAGGTAATGTGCACACAGAGCTGACCCTTCTTCCTACCCCACCTGGGATTCCTTTTAGGACTAGTCAAGCATATTTGAAGAACTCTTTAACGGGTGAGCACCCCAATACTTTTATTTTAAAATATCATGCAAGAAAGAAGGAAAAAAAGACTCCTTGTGTACCAGTCTTAGCCTTCATAGCCTTCCCAGAAAACCTGGCCACATTAATGTTATTTCAACAGAGAAGAATTTCCCAATCCCTCCCTTTCTGAAATCCCTTCCATTCTATCATTGATAACCAAAATTCCAGGGAAGCTTCCTGTGCACAGGAAAAACTTCAGAGTAGGTTGCGTGATGCTTCCAAGTAGCGCCCAGGGACTCGGCAGCAGGGCCCAAGGGAGGTGTGGTGTCCCTCCTGAGGCTCTGCAGCACACCTGGGCTACTCGGCCTCTTCTGAAAAGGCCCACTGGCAGCTAGGCCAGCTCCTTTGGAGGCTACAGGATTATTCTGTCATTATAGCAGGAGAAGAGTAAACCATAGGACTTCCTTTTGAAGCAGGAACACATGAAGCAGGGAGGGTTCCTGAAAAGGAAAGGAACACTCTACAGGTATGCTCTTACTAGAAAAAGAAAAAAAAAATCCTGAAATCTCTGTTAGCTTAGTCACTCTCCTGAGCAGAGAAGTCTGTTACACCTTTCGGTGAGCTACAGGAGGCTTTTAGTTGCAGTCTATCCAGCTGTCCAAATGTTGCTGTACAAGTTGTGTTATGAAGCCACATCAGCGGTAATACAGCCTTCCCTTAGCTCTCAAGAGCTGGTGTGGCTGTGGGTGTGTGTGGGTGCTGCCTCTGCCCACAAGTGAGCCTATGCCAGCAGGAAAGCCAAGGGCACTCCCGCTCCACAGGCAAAGGCTTGGGCCACAAGTCTGCTGGAAATATTTTTAGTAGCTCTCTGGCAAATGTATGGAGAAGGCAGTTCATAATCAGACCTTGAAAGTTAACATGTAATTCCTACCACCCTGCTGATATTATTTGGATCTTCACAGGAAATTTGCCTTTAAAATCTGATAAAGGTATCATAATAATGTAAAGTCATGTGTAGCTGTGGGTTTGTATTTCTTGTATACCTAAATGCCTTGCTCTTGGTTTTTCTGATTATTTTTTCCCTAGATGCAAAATTTATGTTGATTCACAAAAATCTGCAGTGGTCAATGAACTAACCTAGCACCATTTCCCCATGTTTGTTTCTAATGATTCTGTCTCATTTTTACTTAACTTTTGCATTATTACTCAGTCACTTCCAAATGCCAAAGCAGGCATCTTGTTAACCTAACTAGCTCTGGAACTGCTTCCTCACTAAGTTCACCTGAAGCACCTGTTAGCTCTTTCCGAGGTAGGTTAAGCCACACAATTACTTCCTATCTGTTACTGAAATGCTTTTACCTCAGCACTAGCAACCTATACCAGCAGTCTGTGAGAGACCCATCTATAAACAAATTCTCACAGAATGGTTGTGGCTGTACTTCCTCTTGGTCTTCCTTGCTAGAGGCCACTGAAGGAGAAGGAACACAGGATTTTTATCTGAATAAGTTATTGTCCTTCCATATGTGGGGCCTCCCCAGCAGGAAGACCTCTCCCTCAGCCTCACTGACAGCTGGGAAAATTGCCACATGTTTGAATGTTTCAAAAGCTGTTAAAAAATGCTTCCATCTATACAGGAAAATACCAGGGTCTTTTCAACTTACAAGTATGTCAATATTCTGATCCTGACCAACTGGTGTACAAACAGGCACCATGCATGAATCCCAGTGGAACATCCTTCACATTGGAGAAGTTACAACTATTTTTCCCTCTATGGAGCTACAGACTGGCATTTTCAATCCCCGCTATTCAAGATCCCAGTAACTCTGTAGAAGTGGAGGATTCTACAAAGTTATGGAATCATTGAAAGGGACACCAATAAATAAGCCAGTGCTCAAAGGAACAAGGTTTTTCCCACAAATCATGATTGATATCTGTGTCATTAGTAGGATAGCTGCCCATCTCTTATCATGATTGACAGGTTAATAAGGGACCTGGGGCTATCTTTTCACTGCGAGCACACAACCTAAGCAATTGCTTTTAAATTATTGCTAATTTGATAGAATATAAGCAGAAGGCATAAAAATATCTGGAATAATGTCTAATGCAGTTTTTACCCCTGGTATTCTGAGCGATCCCATTTTAGAAAATAGATTAGAATGTAGTTAACAGATTTTTTTGTTAAGACACTCAGTTTTTAAAGAAAATCTTGTAGTTGTTCGTTGGTTCAATTAGGAGCAAAAGAGAAGGGAGTTTTGTAATGCAATTGTCCTGTAAAGGAAAATGTTTTAAATTGGGGAGATTATGTGAGCAGACCACCTGTAGGGCATTCATAGCTCTTTTCTATAATGCTCCAAGCCATGCCTTGCTGCCTGCAGTCTGGCTAACAATGCAGGGAAAAGCTGTTTAAAAGGCTGTTCTCCCTTTTCCCTCTGGTGTTCACTAACTGTTACAAGTCTTCCTCTTAAAATTAAAAAAAAAAAAAAGTCCCACATCCCTTTAATTGAAGAACTTTTAAGGCTCCATGGTGGCCAATTGGTCTGCAACAAGAGGAACCAGGCAGCAGGGAAAGAAACTTCAGACTATACATCACATTTGGTGAAGAGAAAAGATCAAAGTTTTCCCAAACTCAAAAGAAACCAAGTTCCCTACAGATTAACCCTATTCATTTAGCTCCTCTTAAAGGAATGATGTTCTGAGCCATTGGGCAGACAGGTAAAAAGTTCAACAATTGCCAAAGCATTCTTCTGCTAATTCAACAGCCTTCTGCTCAAATAAATTAGCTTAGTCCTGACAGAAGAACAATACCTTTTCTCTTGAATAAGGACCATATTTGATATACAAAAGTTAAGTATGAAAGGTTAAGATGTTAGATCAATCTCTCCTTAACAGATTAACAAATCTCAACTTGCTGTTCCACTCTAGTACATGATCTATGAATTTAAAACATTAACCTTTTATACTTCAGTATGCATCCTCAGAAAGGCAGGTGCTTACAGAAGTGTAGACAACAGATAGAAGTGTGTGTGTGTGCACATTCCTAAAATAACACCTACTTTAAAAGGAAACTTAACATGCCTTGTGAGATGACTCTTTTGTAAAGGCTCAGTTTAAAGACACTGTCATATTTCAAAAGCAGAGAACCTCCCAGTTTTGGCAAACACTTTTTCAGAACAACTTGTTGAATAACTTGTTTTCCTTGTGTCTATGTATCTTACTCCTTCAACAGAGGCTGCCTTCTATTACACCGCAATGACTGGAGCCTGAATGTAGCTTGTAATTCATAGAACCATCGAAAGACAGAGCAGCTGGAATAACCAGGGCAGGAGTAGGGGGGAAGCTTGAAAAAGTCATTTATCAAAAGACATTTTATTGACAAAATAGAATACTCATATTTGCTTTTACAGGGGTAGCCTCTAAACTTTTTTACAAAAAAAATTTACAGACTGTATAGCTTTGGATATATACATATTTTACACATCTGTACAAAGTAACAAATAATTATATAAATACATCCTTTAATGTAGGAAACCCGTATTTAGCTGGGGTATATAATTAAGACATGTTTTGATTCAGTCTGTATTGTAAGGCATTTGCCTGGTCATCAATATCCAAAAAACCTGCAGTCCCAGCAAACTCCCACCTCAGGAAGGGGGGGGAAGGAAGACCCTCCCTCCCATTAGCAAAGAGCTGCTGTTAGTCCAAAGTGAATCAGAAGCCGCTTTGCTTTGCCCTCTGCAAGACACCGGTGAGCCCATACCCTGCTCTGCCAGCAAAATAATAAGCTGGCTCCTTGAAGTACATGCTCCCTACATATGAATGGAGGGGAAGGAGGAGGGGGCTGAAGCCTGGGGCCTCTGCCAGCTGCATTGTTCTATACAAGCTGTGGCTAATAAGGACCATTAGAGGTTCATTAATGGCACCAAACAGTGAGGGGGCATTCTAGGCAGGCCAGTGTCCCTCACTCCGTAACCTGTAACCTCTGGCCTCCTTCCTCCTCACACTTGAGACAAGGGCATCTGCTTGGGGTAGGAGACAGAGCTGGCCGTGCCTGACCTCCACGTTAGGCCGGTGCTGACATCGCTGTAGAGTGAACCACCACCTCCAGCCCCAAGTCCTCCTGCTGCGGCGATTGCTGCCTGCCCACCTGCTCCTGTCCCTGTGCCCCCAGCCACGGTGGCAGCTTTGCTGGCCCAGCAGCAGCGGGTGCAGAGGGCCCTCCAGGACTCTAGGGTCTTGCCGGACCAGACCCAGACACCAGAGGTGATGCCCACCACCAGGCACATGAAGTACTTGAGCATGAAAACAGCATAGTCAGGGCGGCGGGCCTGGTCAGGCTGCTGGTCGCGCAGGCAGGGGCAGTTGTGTGTGGCCTCCCAGCGGGGCCGGTTGTGCTGTTCATAGAAGAGGCAGGCAACCACGCTGGCAGCTGGCACAGTGTAGAGCACAGTGAAGAGGCCCAGGCGTATCATAAGCTTCTCCAACTTGTGGGTCTTGGTAGGGCCACCCTGCTGCTTGATGACGCTGCGGATGCGGAAGAGTGAGACGAAGCCAGCGAGCAGGAACATGGAGCCGATGGCCAAGTAGATGAGCAGCGGTGCCAGCACGAAGCCCCTTAAGTTCTCCAGGCTCTGGTTGGCCACGTAG